CTATTCATTTCCATGGGTGATTTTCTATCTACTTCAAGTATTTGCCTGGTCATTACATTTGAATAGATTGGGATGTTTAATATTGTTTAAGTTTACAGGTCCTAATGATGCAATGATGAGATACCATCATTTTAAGCTAAAGAAAGTATAGTTCTAAAAAACTGGGCAGTTATGCCATGATTCTGGAGTGGTCGTGAGTATGAAGAGAACTAACTATGTACTGTATGACTTTTTTGCGCAACACGCCAACGGATATGAAAGATATGGACATCATGGCGGCAAACTCACAACTGTTTTGTTTGAAAGAAAAAAATGTTACCTTGTTTAAGAAAATGTCAGACGCCCCCTGAGGTAGGCCAAAATACCTACGAAATAAAATGAAGTGCCCATACTCAACAACCTTATGTAATCAGAACAACAGGAAATATAGAAGGAACAATCAACAAGTTTGAGGGTGACATCACATCTGCAGCATAATTACAACACTTGCTTTTCAAGTAGTCAGCTTATTGGACATCGGGCAGGAATCTTGGCTTACCCAATTATCTCAAGTTTCTAATAGTCTTTCTGGATTGATATACTTCAACAGGTCATTCGAAGCAATTCCTTTGAAACAAGAAATATATTTTCAAATCCTTCGGAAAGATTTCGTAGACGTATACACATCTGGAGGACCAGCAGGAGTTGTTACACCTCTGCCACTTCAAATATTCGGCCTGATAAATACACCATTCACTTTTTGAGGGCTGTATATCGCGCTTAGCAAATTAGGAGGCTGCCCAGTGACTACCCATATGATGAGCTATGAGATGCTGACAAATCTTTCATACAATCGAATTCACGTTTAACCACGCGTGGAGCACGCGAGAGATCCTATTTGTATGGAAGACAGCGTGAATGACACCAGTTTTGAAGGCCAGAAATAATCCAGCACGCATCGCCTCATATCGGCTCATATCGACTGGCATCGCTAATGTCATGCGGAAGTTGATAAAAAGATTCTCTTTTTATCTTTTTATTTTTATTTTTCATTATCTTTTTAGATCAACTTTTGAACAAAAAATAGCTCTAGACCCATCCCCGTATTTGACACCCCTTAGTAGCCGGACCACCCGACGCCACCACCCAAAGACCTTGATCTCATATTTCGCTCGCACAGACCTACTGAAGTATTCGTACTTTCCAAGAACCATATGTGAATAGAACTGTCTTACTAATACATGTGATGAATTAACTAGCCTACCAAACAACCTTCTTCGCCCTTTATTGTTTCTTTTCGCAATTATTTTATTTGTATGTGTATTACCACCCTGCTTGGACGTCGAGTCTGCAGTATTGAATAAATACATAAAAATAAAAAATGTACATGATTAGCTTGGTACCTTAAAAAAGAAGATGAACAGCATGTATGAAGAAATTGCGTCCACGTTTGAGCACCCAAGACAGTCTTCGAGCTGCTGGGTCACATTGAGCACCACCGTGTCAGCGGCCTCTCGACACTTGCTGTCTTCATGAATATTGCGAAAGCATATGACTGTGTTCTTCAAACAGGCATCGCCAATAGACTGCATGCAATGGGTGTGTCCGGAAATTCTCTTCGTTTTGTGCATCAATTTCTTGCAGACCAACGTAGGCGGGTGAAGCAAGAAAAAGTCATTACCAATGAGCAAAGAATTTCCCTCGGCATCCGGAAAAAATAGTGTTTAACTCTCTTGCTTTTCAATGGTGCCATCGCCAGCCTTCCTGGTGCTGTGAAAGTAGCTCTGAAGGCAGTTAAAATATTCATGTATGCTGATCACATCTTCATCTGGATCTCAGAGTACCAACAGAAATGTTTGGCCCGGATAGCTTAGGGTGCGATTTCAATCATTGAAGGTCCCTTGTCCACACTTGCCTTGTTTCTATAAGCGGAGAAATCTGCCTCAATGCTCTTCCCGATGGTACGGAGGAAGTCAACACACTGCCGCTGAACTTCGGACGCCATTCAATTGACCTTTTTGCAAGCAATCCCACAACACCCCACGGGTGTGCGTAGCACAATGGAAAAGGTTGGTACATCGAAAAAAAAACGGCTTTTCCTCCACCCGCTGCTCACTGGCGCTGTACGAACACGAAAAAAAAAGAACATCTTGGTAGGAAGCCTAGGGAGGAAGCGCACAAATTTCGCACGAGAACGCGACACACAAGCACTTGACTTCAACTAAAGCTTTATAGCACGTGTCAGAGTATATGAAGGCGTGAAAGAAAATAAAAGTAAGACATAGAACAATGAAAAGCGAATGTGCAGTGCCGTACATTACTCATCCAGTATTATCAATCACACCACCCAAAAAAGCAAAGTTCTTTCCGCGTGAGCGAGATAGAAGCTGCACTGACACACTCAATGTCGTCCCGTGTCATTTCTGCTGGTTCAACAATCAAACTTGTTAACAAATTTCTGTCACAATATAAAAAACGCATTTGTGTTCAAAATGTGGCACAAAAGCGCACTCCTTACAGTGAATTAACATGCCGCCGCTTGTTGAATAGGGTCCAATAGCACCTCTGTGTGTTTCTACGCATGAAATGTGAAATAAATAACGCAGGTGGTGTAGTTATTACTGGATGAGCGTAGATAGAATGTAGGAATTGAGCGGCATGCGAGCTGTTGCCTATCGATAGAGTCGGGCAAAACAGGCTACCTTGAGGAATGTGTGCCGAAACGATAATAACGATAAACATACTGCTAATAAATCATTTTATCTTTTACCTTTTTCCTTACCATGCCTGTTTAAATCGACCACCGGTCATGGACACTTTTAGACCATCAATATTGACCAGTTAATTTTGTTTCAGGTGCACCCAGCGCTTTCTATTCGTGGTCCAAGTATTCAATAGTGGATTTTGGAAGTGGTCACACTTGCACATTATTTTTACGTTCTCCTTTTTGGAAACTTTCAAAAGGGCCTCGAGGTGTCGTAATTGATTGTCAAATGTCTCTGAGTATATGATGGTGTCATCAACGTTACACCAGTGCGCTGATGTTTAGGTATACATGTCGTCCCACCACCGGCCGTACACCGGAACACGAAGGGGCCGGTCGCCCAACCCATACTTGTACAACTAAAGAGAGCAACCGATAGAGGTGCGGTTGCTGTAGATTGATCTACCAACGATCCTCCGTCGCTGACGATGACGCCGCGACGAAACCTCAGGAACCAGCTGCAACGTCAACGTAGTGCCGGCGTGGAAACTTCGTGACAAGAAGAATACTTGACGACGCATCGTCAAAGCAGAGGTACCAACCGAGGCAGCTGAGATCCGACACAACGACCTAACTGCATCGCGACGCAATGAACTGGCGACATAAACGTCCTCATCGATGGCCACAGCGTGACAGCTGTCAACAACACCTGATCCAGCTATTCCGTCATCAGTGGAACATTTGCCGCAAAGTTGAAGAAATTTCGGCCTGCTTGAGAGGGCCCTGAAATCCGTACAGCTGGAGGCCACCTATTTATGCCGGCAGAAGTATGCACAGCCAGAGTTGCCAATAATCGTCAGATTTATCTTGAAAGCTTCATCGTACTGCAGCATTGCTCGACAGATGCCATACCCGAGAGATGTCTTCATTAAGCCACCATCGACCTGACGGCAAAGTCGTTAACATTATCCTCAGAAAAGCAGTGCCGCCGCACATGCTGTGAAGAAGGCAAGCCTTCACTAAAATGGTAGACCAAGTTTATTCTTTCAGGCTCCCGCGTTAGTATTTCTGTCGCCATCAACAGACATGCAAGGTTTCAATGAAAGCGACCATTACCTGTTGATGAACTGCGTTGCGTCGCAAAAGGAATAGCTGTGCTGCGACGAGAGAACGCCAAAGTGATGCTCAATAACTTCACTAACGAGTACAAGCACGTGAGCAAAGCCATGACATTTGCCTACATTGAAGAGATATTAGAAACCAGCAACGCTTTCGCTTTTACCATTTCTGCGAAATCTACACAGACTACTCAAGCCCTTCAACCAGCTTTCAATGTTAATCCAAGCCTTTAGACGCATAAACAAGAACAGCTCAGAAACCAGCTCATCAAGTACAAGAAGTGCTTTTAGTGGTCAGGGTTGCAGCGCCCTTACTGGCGACGGGTGGCGAAAAGTGCTCAGAAACTCTCCCATTGCATTCGCGACAAGTGAGAAGGCCGTAATGAAAGCCGGAAGCGCGCGCGTGCAGTCTAGCCCGGCCGTGATTTAGGGGAGTCTATGCGCGGTCGTACTGAAGGAGCGACTCACGCGCACTCTCTTACGGCTTACGCACCCAAAGAGGGAACAATAGGGCAGATGCTTCGCAGCTCGTTGTAGCAATCGCCTAGTGGGGTGCTTCAACGAATCTCTTATACCCCATGTTAAAGCCCATGCATAAAAAAGTAACAACTCTTTATTCTCGTTATTATCTCTTTGTTGTTCTCAAATGCGTTGCTTTATGTATATGTTTTTAAATATGTATTTGAATGTTATCTCCCCCCTATACTAATGCCCTACACGAGCGTTTTAGGTATTCAAATAATTATATAAAATTGATTCATTCCCGCTTGATGTCCACTTTGTTTGGACAATCTTGTAGCGACGTAAAATTTTGTGCATTCTTGAATATACTTCTCACATTTTCGAGGAGGTTATTCACACAATGACTACGAGCACTACAGCGTTCTTCTCAATTTTTTGTGGTTGCTAGCAGGTGGGGGCTGGTGTTTCAAACTCGTCAAGTTTGTCCATTGGAATGTGATCGTTTCTGTCCTCGCTTTGACCGACTCGTCTACGCGCAATATGTGGTGAAATGCAAAAAGCGCATTGCTCGTGTTCCTTCTTCCGTCAACTGCGAAAAAGTGGTTCAGTGCTTACAACTGAGCACTTTAAAACGCCTTTCTAAAGAAGCATAAACATTGCGTCTTGACGTCCAAGGTCTTCAAGACGTAGAGTTCTGAGTTATGGTTTAAGGTGGTTTTCTTTCTTTTTCAGTTTTATAGCAATAGATCAGTGATATGCACATTGAAAACGACAATGGACGTAACTGCTCGTTATTCTAAAATTGACTACGTAAACAATACAACTCCTGATCATACAGATTTCCGGAGGGTCTATGGCGAAGACCACGACCCGTAAGTTTGAGCAATGGCTTTATTTTGATATATGGGGCTAAGTTCAATGATTCTCACGCAGGCCATACGAAGACCCACTGGGAAACTTTATGAACATGGACAAGACTAGGAAAGATCCACCATATAACGGAATGCTCGTGACCTTGCAGCAAGGTAATTGAATTAGAAAGACAGAGAAAAAAACCTTCTTTTAAATTGGTTCAATTACGTAATTTCATGCTATTTTCACAACTACATGCTAATCGACAGTTTATTTACTCACGCTTTTTTATCATACTTTTCGCCCACTTTGGAGATCTGTATGACAATTGCTTACAGAATTTTGAAGCTAGATAAAATATGTTTAATACGATGTTTGCTGTCATGTGTGCTGAAACGCTAATAACGATAAACATACTGCTCTTAAACCACTATATCTTTTAACTCTTTCGTTACCATGCCTATTTAAATCGACCACCGGTCATGGACACTTTTAGACTATCAATATTGGCCAGTTAATTTTGTTTCTGGTGCACCCAGCACTTTCTAGTAGTTAGTCCAGCCACTCAATTTGCAAAATCGATTTGAATTTCCCCGTTTCGGCAACAAGGTGCTTTTTAACAGACCTTTGTGCGAACCAATGTGCTTGTACAGTTGGAAAAGTGCACTAGACTGGCAAACGTGCCAGAAGTGCGAGCCTCTTATAATTATTCTACATTAACATCAAAGTTCTTTAATGTAAAGATTCTGGGCAAGCCAAATATCGAATTAAAGTGTCAGCTTCGCAATTTGACTATGTTTAGTTGTAATGATAGCCAGAAATATATGCCATTTATTCAATAAACAGCTGTTCCCAGGAGTCAGAAAAAATTTGTTCTACAAAAAAATATTTGCGAAGGTCGGCCGCGTGTTTGAAGTGTTGAGATGGCCTTCTTTCTATGACAATTCGCAGCAGCTTTGGTTTTGCCTACATCGTTATATCAGACACAGGGTCGCATCTAGTGTCACTAGTCGCTCCTATGATGTCGTCGTCACGCGCGCATGGGTGCACATCAGCGCTGAAAAACACATGCGCTGCTCGACACTGTCTTGCGACCTTATCTGAATTATGCCTGAATTGAGAGACGACGTGCTTAGCATTCGAGGATGACAGCACCTCCGCTTCAAGTTTTATGGCTATGATGTTTTGCGTCAGCCTGATACATCTGTAGCTGTTCATGGGCTAGTTTTGTTTATATCCTCGAGCTGTTTCCTCCACTGAAAATGCGTATAGCTTCTGATCTTTACACACAATCTTATGGCTACTCTAGTTACGTGCGTAGTCCACACTTCGCTGGGACGCGGTGAGCTGGCGCTGGCTACAGAGCTTCTCCTAACAACAATAGGGCCCTCGAAGCACATCTTGGTCTTGACTACGGAGCAGTGGGAAACGGTTTAGAACTGCGCGCGATATTATCCTTTTTTCAATACACCATGCGCGAAAATGTAAAGAAATATCTCGGATGCATATATTGAAACACCAACCTATTCGGTTTAAGGTGGCCCATGAAAAGAGGTGACGCTAGATGAAATAATGAAGCTCTTCGGAGATATCATTTGCAGAGAGATTATTCACATCACTGGTATTCATCTACCCATATTGGAACACCAGGAGACTCTTATCGACACGACAAATATTTACTGAGAAAAAGTGTACAAGTACACTTGTGTCTCACCAAAATTGATGCAATGCTTCACCGCATGGCACGAGCAACGAAGCAGCGAACTCGGTCCTGATTTTCTTTATCTATATGAAAAGAATCTTTTTTGTACAACGTTCATTATTTTTATACCGTTCGTTGGTCATTTATCTACAAAATTTATATTCCTAATTTTCTTTGTTTTGAATATTTTTGCATATTATAAAGGTGATTTATTGAGCGGAAAGGTTTTTGCTAGTAAGGCGATGCACCAGCCTCAATTCATAAGCTCAAGCCTCTGCTCCAAGCTTCATGTTGCTGCCTCTGGGCCGGAGTACTTCCTCTTGTTTACAATGGCCCCACGGAAAAAATAGGAGCCGTCCTAGTGTCTTAGTCCTGTACAGGCGGCGTAGAACGATCGTATGAATTGAGTCTCTGGACGTGTACAACCTCATGGTTGCGACGTTGCAAGTCTGACGGTGGAGTAATAGGCTCAATGAGGTAATTTATTGCAGAATTCTGTTCGAGAATACGATATGGCCCATCATACTTTGGCAGCAGTTTGGAAGAGAGCCCACGTGTGCGATGTGGCACTGACAGCCACACAAGGGCATACAGAAGAAAAACGGGAGTTGAGGTCTGGGAATCATGAATTCCTTTTTGCCGGTTTCGGTCATCGGAGGAAAAGCGACGAGCTAACTGGTGACATTCCTCTGCGTGTCTGGCGGCGTCCATGATCGGTAGGCACTCAGACGGGTTCAGTCGATAGGGCAGAATGGTGTCAGTGGTGTGAGAGGGGTGTTGGCCGTAGAGAAGGTAAAAAGGGGAGAAACCTGTGTTAGCTTGCGTTGCCGTATTATAGACGTATGTAAAGAAAGGGAGAACTAAGTCCTAGTTAGTGTGCCAGTTCCGGTTAGTAAGGTAATGCACCAGCCGCAGTTCACGTGCTCGAGCCTCTGCTGCACGCTCGATGCTGCTGCCTCTGCATGGGCCGGCATGCATCCTCTTTCTTACGATGTATAATGTATTACTGCCATGCTTATCAGCTTGTGAACACACACTGTGCACTTTTCACTTTTTATTTATTCAAACATAGTTTTATAGCTCTACAATGTACATTTTTTTGGAAAAGACATTTCATTGTGCAAAATTTGGAATGCTGCAATGCATGCTGGAACATTTTTCCAACTAGAAAAAACTATCTTTCCGAAACATATGTAAAACAATCATTTTTTCGCGGTAACGAACGATTCAGTACCACGCATTGCTGTTTGATTGGGCCGTCAACAATAGACTGCAGAGAAGTATTAGAGCTATAGATTTTTTCTTGTTTTTATGTGAATATCACGTGCTGAAATTAAAAAAAAGTAAACAATTTTAAACACGCTCAAAGACGAAGGAATTAAACTAGAATTCCTGTGCGAGATTCCTTACTCTAACGATTTGCGGTTCATTTCAAGATGCTTAAGATTCTCTGCGGAGCATATTTGCTGGCAGTATATTCCGCATTAAGTGATACCACTATTTAATTTTGCGTCTGCTCATTCAAAACTTGTTCAGTGAGGAATAATCATACCGCCCTTACGCTCGACGAAAAAAAAAACAGTGAAATAATTGGGCACATCACAAGAATAACACGTTCCAGCGGCAAGAAGGCGTGGTGTCCTGCCTATATCATGTTGCATTGCTTTGGGAACAGCTCATTCGCACGACGAACAAAGTACGATTCAGACGAATTTCACCCGCAAAGAAACGAGAAATACTGCAGTTATTATATGCATAAGTTTTGCACTGTCTGAAAGGAAGTCGGGAAGCGAAAGGAGTGTAGTTGTGTTTTCCGCACCACATGCTTGGTCACATTTCTTACATAGAACGCAAAATGTCGCATGGATCTGTAGTGGCCAGAACAAAGTACTATGAGAGGCATGTCAATTGTTCTTTAAAAACTTTAGCAAGAGTTGCTGACCAAATTCTTCTTGTGTTCACATATATACGTCAGTAATACAGGTTGATGTATCAGCAAGTGCGCCTGAGAGCATCAAAATTCATTTAATGAAGTCATCTCATCTCACCTCACATTTTCAGTCATGCAAATTCAATTTCATACCTAAAGGCCTGGTAATCTTGCACAGTCAACCTAACCAGACCACGCGATTAATCTTGTAGACATATCACGAGGAACACCGCTCCTTGTTTAAGTCAATTACCTTAGCTATCGCTAAAACGAAAGAAACTTCACTTTTATTATTCAACTGCAAGCACGGGCCTCGGTTCTTAGTCTTTTTGTATCTCTTTTTGGCATGCGCAGTGCCGCCCCATTTTCTTATCAATGCTTGTTAACACGTCCGATAACCTTTCTGTCGTGAGTGGGCGTTTCCGAAGTGGCTATTGCCTGGTCCAACTTCTTTCCTTTCGCCCGGTAGGGCTTATTCCAACTTACAGTTACACTGCCAAGAGAAGTTTGCAGATGCATATCCTGCGAGCAGCGCGCAGTGATCTAGTCAGTGTATTTTACTTTACGAAGTGGTGCATACTGCTAAAGCAGAATTTGAATATACCAGGCGCGCATCATTTAGTCGAAAAGAGCGTCGAATGACACCGAATCCTAATGCATCCGTTAATTTATGGACAGTGCTTGAACCTTTTAGGCAACCAAGTTGTACTGGTTTTTTTATTTAAGGTGAAGGTGCACTGATGCTAAAAGATAATAATAATTAGCTGACGTTTCTGAGCCACTAGGCTGGTTGAACAGGAGGACAAGTGCGAATCGTAGACAGGCTATCGCACCTAAACACTGAAGTTTGTGAGTGAATCACGTGTAATAAATCACACATTGCCGAGTTCACTAGATCTGATAAGTGCTGGCACGGTGCAAACTGATATTTGAAGCGTGAGGCTCGCATGCGGCATACCAACTTTACAAGTTTTTTCCATAAGTGCTTGCGCGCCCTTTGGCAGCGCTAGTGTGGATGAAAAAAGTCTATTGGTTGTGCCGCAGGTGTGCGTTTCTCCTCACCGCATGGCAGGTGTACGCGAGAGCAATGATTATAAGTCGATGCTTATGCTGAATGATGCCCTCATACAACAAGCCGCATTCTTTACCAGCTTGTCAAAATAGTTGGTTGGGCGAGTTGGTAATTCATTATGGTTTTAAGCACGAACATGATAGGCAGACAAAGACAGGAGAGATACGGACAAGCGTTTAGTACCAACTGGTGAAATGTTTCATCTGTCAGTATAGATTTCACTGTTTACTGATTAAACTTTCAGTTGGTAGTAAGTGGTTTTCCGCATTGTTACTGTCTGTGTCCACGTATCGCGCGCGTATTAAAAACTTTCTTTACCAACTGCTGCTGATATCATTATCACCGAGTTGGTTCGAATCCTTACAGGCAGTACACAGAAAGGGTCTTCGCTTCGCTATGTATCTTCCTAAGGCGGCGTCAAACAAGAAAATCAGTAATGATGCCTCGACTCTGCCACTTCGCTTTTTGG